GACGAACGTGATTTGAAGTACTGATTTTTCCGTGTAATTTCTACTCACGTACTCATCAACGATTTCGTTAGATAACCTCAAAATTTGATTCTTAGTTGGTGCTGCCATTGTCGTTAAGTGTGACCGGCTCGAGTAACAGCACTTGAGCCACCTACGCGGATAGTTTGGGATCAGGGTGTCATGTTAGTAACCGTAATCACCGTCCATACACATACTCGTGTTGTACAATAAGTACTAAGGTACCAAACTTGTATGTATACAATCAAATTTGAATCGTTAAACGTTTCAGGTGTCAACGGTCATTACAGTGCTGATTACTAGACGACGTTAACGAGGTCCACGTACATGTACGCACGTACGACATGACTGACGGTACGAATATTCACACACTCGTAGGTAAAAGGTACATGTAAAGCATACACTTTCACAGTACAAACGTAAGTGCGTCCCTCTCCCGACTATATCGACTCGTTCGGCGAGATGTAAAATGCCAACTCAAAGTGAAGATTATCTCGTGGGAACCTGTTTATTTCGAATAGTACGCGTTGTCTAGACACGATGTAGGTACTCATGTGAATTTACCGACCGCAAGATTTAATGAAGCCGCCGCGCACAACATTGTAAGGCACTACCACTTGTTGAAAACTTTAGCACATTGTTGGATTTCGATCGATGTTTTCAAACCGCGACATACCACGGATATCTGTCGAACACTCGACGTGTTTTGCTTGAACCATTGATTCGATTAAAACCTTTCGACTTCCATGTTCATCCAACATAGAAATCACACATTTCTTTGTTGTTATTTTTTTTTTATTCCTGACAAGCTAAAATTGGGAAGTAGGTGAACCTACGGAATAAATTTTTTGAACCATGTCTATCTCAAAATATTACCTATTTCTTTGAAAACTGTCTTAAAAGTAATCGAACTCTCAAAATCTTCTTCAAAATAATCTCCACCAGATATTCTACAATGTGTCAATGTTTTTTCCAATCTTCGAAGCACTTCAAAAAATATTTTTTTGTATTTTCGTTCAGCTTGCTCCTTCAATGCCGTCTTTATCTCCTCAATCGTAGCGTAGTGTCGCCCTTTCATGGGCCTCCTCAGATTCAGAAATAAGAAAAAGTCACAGGGGGACAAATCTGGGGGACATGGTGGCTGCGGCATTGTTAGTGCGTTGTTTTTGGCCAAAAATTCGCGCACAAGCAACGATCTGTGAGCAGGGGCGTTATCATGGTGTAGAAACCAATTTTTGTTCTTCCACAAATTTGGGCGTTTCTGGCGAATTGCTTCGCACAAATTGCACATAACTTGCAGGTAATATTCCTTATTGACCGTTCTACCCTGCGGCCAGAACTCTTGATGCACCACGCCTCTGAAATCGAAGAAAACTGTAAGCAAAACCTTCACATTCGACCTAACTTGGCGGGCTTTTTTCGGTCTTGGCTCGTGCGGCAGCTTCCATTAGGATGATTGAGCTTTGGTTTCCACGTCATAACCATGAACCCATGATTCGTCAACAGTTATGACCCTCTGGAGCAAATTTGGGTTAATGCGATGCTGTTTTTGGTCGAAATCGATCAAAATCATTGGTAAAAATCGAATGACAGGAGCTAATCGATATGTTTAGGTTATCATCAACTTCTCTAACGGTGAGTTTTGTAGAGCGCATATATGTAATTACATTATTACAAAAACTTTGTGGTGCTTTTCGGTTTATCCATAACTTTTATGGAAGGCATAGAGAACATTGTTGGTTTGACTGCAGAGCCGTTGGTTGTGAAGATCGTAAAAATAGTGCGGGTTTGTAACAATTCATCATACAATGGAATGGCATTCTGTGCTAATTAACAGGCCCTGACAGGGCAAAGACACACAATAGGTTTGGTGCTTGCACACACAGATATACGTACATACATATACACGCGCTGTTCACGTTCATTTATTTCGTGTCAGTTGCGCGGCAGACGTCACGGAAAACACATAAATAATGATGAGAACTAAGGAAAAACACGCGTTAATTATGTACCGGGGAAAATTAATTCCGCTATGTTGAACTGCTAACATAACAAACAGCTTCACTTATTCAATCAAAATATTGCATTCAATGGAAGTATTAACAATGACTGTAACGACAAAAAATGATCAGATAGAATCACGTCTGAAAGACAGCAGTTACATGAATATTCAGTAGTTCCTTTCCGTTTGACGAATATTGATAAAACACATGAAAAATTGTGTGATGTAAAGCTTCTTGTGTCGTCAATAACATTACTTGATTAATGTAAATAACATACTGTAATACGACAAACAAATTGATGAATCACAGCTTCAGGATGCACGGTAAAGTATCTTTATCAAATGCATGAAAAAATCTTCGGGTTTTAAAGACAGCAGTCTATACCTCTACTCTTTCTTATCCTGAGCTAACTTCGCATTTCCCTAAAACTAGAAAAATCCTCATGCTTAACTATTTAAGAACAGTGATCTAATCTAGGTCTATCTCTACCCCTCCTAACTCCCGTTTTTGCCTGTAATATGTCTCTGACTAGACCTTCGTGCATGAGAAGATGTCCTACCAATCTATCTCGCCTATTTTTTAGTGACTTCCATCTCCTATTCTGCCTAATACCTCTTCATTTCTAACCTATTCTACCCATTGAACCATATCTATCTCAAAATATTACCTATTTCTCTCCCGTTTGTGCCTCTACTAATATGTCTCTGACTAGACCTTCATGCCTGAGAAGATAATCTACCAACCTATCTCACCTATTTCTTATTGACTTCCTTAGAGTCCTCTGTTTTCCTATTCTTTCTAATATCTCTTCATTTCTAACCTTCTTTATCCACGGTATCCTCGTCATTTGCCTGTAACCAGATTTCGAACGCTTCTAATCTCTTCTTTTCAGTCGCGCCCACTATCCATGTTTCGCACTCGTACAGCGCCGCGCTGCAAACATACACCTTTAACAATCTTAGAAGTGAGTTATTTTTATTGAAGGCGACTCGACCCTGCATTATCTTCTGCTTTATATCCCTAGTACTCCTTGCGTCCTGGCTCTCTGACTCCTAAATACCTAAAATCGGCCACTAATTTTTTGTCACCTATCTTTATATTCGTTCTTTCTCTACGTTTTCTTCCCTTCTATACCAGTATTTTTGTTTTATTTTTACTTATTTTCATACAGTAATTTTTTGTCAGTACCGCATCCAGTTTATTTAAAGCTATCTCTAACTCCTCCTTGCTAGATGCTAATACTGCTATATTATCTGCAAATCTAAGCATACCAATCTTTTGCCCCTGTACATCTATCGCTACTTGTACTGTCTTTAATGATGTTGATCACGTCTTCGATGTATAGATTAAAAAGTAGCGGTGACAGTGTGCATCCCTGTCTAACTCTCTTTCTAATATTGACATCTATACGTTGCAGTCACAGCTCTATAACTGCCTGTTGCTCTTTATACATACTAAGTATCACTCTTCTATCTTTGAAACTCATCCCTACATTTTTAAGTATATTTAGCCTGTACAAACCGTAAATTTACAACCCGTGTAAAAAGCTTAATTTATATTACACTGCCTATCAATGGCTTTCCTGTAAGGCGTAACACTTCAGATACTTTGTAACATGGTAGCTTACTTTTGACGTTTTCATTTTTAAACATGTAACGACGGGTTGATTTTTATTTAACGAGTTTTTGCGTTCCTGTTAAATAATTAAAAATAATTTCCGACAAAATTGACTTAATACATGTAATAAGCGCACAGCCTGACTTTCTTTCTACATATTCATAATTTAACAAACATTTGATCAAGATGGATCATTATAATGTAATTTCAGACAGAAAAAGGTAATTAATGCACAAAAAAAGGCAAGTGCGTGTGTTTTCTGATTCATTCTTTAAGTTACAACGTATATTTTTCTTGCAATTTTTTTGAAATCGTCCACGCTTGGCAAGACATGCCTAATAGTTATCGCCTACAAAACCGACATTGCAAAAATATTAATTTTCCTTTTTATTTAAAAAAAACGACACGCATTGACTAACCGAAGTTTCAGTACGATAAGTGAGCGCAACCTTTTTTACATATCATAATGTTGTGTTAATCAGTTTCCTTGAGAGAAGCTCTTTCTAATTTTTTCTGATATGCGAGAATAATGGGTGGTTTACGGTTTCTAATTAACAATAATGGAGTAAACTTTCTACAACTAATTAGCAGGAACAAGAAAAAATATTACAATTATTATTGTGTCTTTTCAGATAGAGAAATTCACTTGTTGTTGTAGCATTGTGGATTTAATGAAGAGACCGAATAACAAGTGCCATAAAAACAAACTAATGATAAGACAATACCTGTGTGTTATTATTCCATTTCTTATGTGAACGTGTTTACGTATATCACCAACAGAAATAGACCAGAAGTTTCTAACAGCTTAAGGACTATCGGACTGGATGAACTTAAAAATTAGTATTATATATTATTATCGGCAGGAGAAAAATGAAACGCTAAATATTTTGATTTTGAAATGGAAAAATTTCATTTTCCCAGTATGTAGATTGTTTGAAATAAAGCATAGTTCAAACATTTAAAAGCAGAATTTTTAAAAACAATGATCCATAATTTCTTCCCTTCCGCATGTTCTATTGAAAGGGAGGTGTTATTATACTATCAGTACAGTACAGTACTAAACCCCCCATATTCCAATGTATGGTTTTAAATGGATGAAGCAAGGGTCTTTCTGTTCTCTTCTCACATTTCGATTGTACTTAGCATAATATTACATTTGTATAATTATTTTTTTTTATTTTATGAATCTCTTCGTTCAATTTCTCTGTCTTTTTGAATTCTATTTGGGGTTTGCTCCAAATTTTTCTATCTTGCTTTTTATTTCAATTTCTCCAAGTTTTTGCTTTTAATTGCTCTCTTTCTATTTTTGTGAATTTTCTTCGTTTAATAGTATGCTTTGCAATGTATTCGATTTTGTTGCAGGCAAACTTGGATCTGAAAGAAAATTTAGCTGGAGCAGCTACGTGGCCGTACCATTCCATGTATCATCCGTACGATGCAGCTTTTGCTGGTTACCCCTTTAACGGGTAAGTTTATAGAAAAGCATGATTTTTAAAGAAAATTCATGAATAAGAACAAACTGTTCTGTTTTATTTTTAAAAAGAAAGCCCGAATAGGGTAAAAAGTTGGTAATTCTTAAAAAATAACAATCGATATTTCGCCTATATTAGGTACAGGATTTTGTCAAGGTAAGTTTTTTGCCAGTGCATTATGTTTCTAAAAGATGGTAGCTAAAGTTGATGCTTGAGGACTACATTAATATAAAGCAATAACATTCGAATAAGCACGATTAATAAATAAATAAAAAATGACCACCTGGTGACAAATAAACGTTGCACATTGTACATTTGTTTTACCGAAAAAGATTGATAAGAAATAGGGAAGGACATTTTCGGGATGTGTCTGTTGGTTGCGACTTTTAGCATCCGTGTTAAAAATTTTGAGGCAGAAATCATTCTGTAAGTAACTCAATAGAAATTTATTTACTTTACTTTTCGACGAGTAACCGAACAAAAAACTTCTAACTTCTTATTTGACATTTGACTTTTATCAACTCTACGGTACTGTACTTCTCGGTTCGGGAAATACCCACGTACTGCGTTGAAAGAAGCGAGCGAACAATCCCGAGGGAATAACTACTCGAAGGGAGAACAGAGTGATGTCGATGGTTGGGTGGAGGCCGCATCATTATCGCCTTAAATTATAAACGACTCGAGTTGGACCAAGTGAAGAGATGTGGGAAGGCATGACGTGGTGTTGTGTGGAGTGTGGAAATTTTGTTGTCAACAGTGGTCGTCTCCCCTCGTCCGTGGCCGAACACATTATCTTGCCATTAGTTTTAGACGCTACATCGCCGTCGCGACGTGTCGTCTCGCTCCTCATTTGCGTTACGAACAAAAAATTAAAATAAAAAGTAGAGAGATACAGGAATACCTCGAAAACTTCGAAACTCAAAATTGGATCGATAGCTACTACTTACAACCCGATATTATTTACCTACTTGGTGTTAATTTTTCTGAGGGGTGCATAATCTTTGTATCTTGTAATGATCATTAACCATATCGATAATGAATAGAAAGACACAAATAAAATTGTTTTATTATGTTTTAAAGAGTGTTCACAGGGAAAATGTTTAGTGAATCTCGCGTTGATATTACTACTATTAGAAGTAGACAGAACACGTGTCGACTGGGAAACTGTTTAGTGAGCTTTGCGTTGATAATGCTAATATATTGGAAGTGGACACAACACGTGTCCACAGAGAAAATGTTTAGTGAATTTCGCATTGATATTGCTCACTTCAGAAGTAGGCAACTGGAAAAATGTCCAGTGAGTTTCGTGTTGATAATGTTCATATTAGAAGTAGACAATAGCACGTGTTTGTGGTGAAAAGTCTTACTGAGTCTCGCGTTGACATTGTTCACATTAGAAGTAAGCGAAATACGTGTCAACTGGGAAAATGTTCAGTGAGTTTTGCATTAATAATGCTCATATTAGAAGTGGACAAAACACGTGTTCACAGAGAAAAGGTTAAGCGAATTTCGCGTTAATATTGCTCACATTAGAAGTAGGAAACTGGAAAAATGTCCAGTGAGCTTCGTGTTGATAATGTTCATATTAGAAGTGGGTGAAATACGTGTCAACTGGGAAAATGTTCAGTGAGTTTTGCATTGATAATGCTCATATTAGAAGTGGACAATTTATTTTTGGATACATTAGAAGTAGGTTAAACACGTGTCCACATCATCTGTTTAGCTTTTTTTGTTTGTTACATTTATTTGTAGGAGGAAGAGGTTATGGAAACAGAAATTATCCTAACAAAAGATTAACCAGGTATCAACATGAGGTTGTAGACACACTGTATACACATAAATTGGAAAACACTTTTTTTTTAAGTCCATGCTGCTAAAATAATTGATACTTTCATAAATTATGCAGCAACTGTTAACAGTAACATTCGTTGCCAAAACCAAACTTTTATTATACGAATGTGTAAAACAATCCAGAAAGAATGCTTTCAAGCAGATAAAAAGAAACTAATTTTTTAATAGGTTTTACCAGCTCTAATCCTTCTTTCATCGCAACCGTCCTACATTCTTTCGGATGTTCTAACAAGGCGTTGGATAATTTTTAACACTCACTTAATCCGTAATAACGATTCTAACAAAACGTTTCACATGCTCGATAACCCAACATTTGCGTGAGATATTTTAGCTTTGACGCTTTCGTATTTTTACATTGTTTAAAAATTCCGTGCCAAGCGGACGAGTCTTGGGCATAAAAAGATTATAAATGTTAGAAACAAATCGTTCGCTTAATAGTTCCAAGCAATCGCTTAGTAGGAGACATTAATAACGTTGATACTGGTAAAAGGCCCAACACTGAACATTCATAATACATTTGGAAAAATATGAATCACTCGAATTTATTTTATTATTTTTTCCTCTCGAAACAAGTCTCAAGTCTATTTCCATTATGTAGAACACGTCTCGACGTGTTACCGTTCCTTGTGAAATGGATGAATGATTTCTGAGTGTCAACCGATGAACAATACGGATTGCAAAAACAGAGTCATCACTCATGTACTTTTGAAAATTTGACCGTCTAAATTAGCTCATGTTGGATGAATTCCAAAGTAAAACATAACGTAACAAATATGATGATGGATTGCCCGGCAGAAGATCAAAACGACAAAACTGCAAAGGCGTAAGGGCTTGTCATTTTTTGGCTCATTAAACAAATCGAACATCTTGTCAATTACTTGCTCTGCTACTCATTGACTGGGAATTATATAATACAATCAACATTATTATATGTGCGTTATCGAATTGGAGAAAAATTCAACAAAATAGGTGCACTCACAGGAAACTGCAACACATGGTTCGTGCAATTTGATGGGTCTTTATGGTGTAGAGGTCTTCGTTGGAGTAAGGTAGATTGAATGGGTAAAGTGTAAGGCAGGCATTGCAAAATAGTGCTGGGGGTAGCAAGGAATACTCCTAAGTATATTTGGAGAAAGGAACTAGGAGTAGTACATATTTAAAGTGAGGCAACATGCATTTAGATGTCTAAGGATATTCTAGGAATGTCAAACCTCAGGAGGCCAAAAATTTGTTGAGGGCTAGTTTGAATAACAAATCTCCGAAGTGGGATCGAAAAGAGGGGAGGTAGATGGTTAAGGATTTGGAAGTTACTAAGAGGTATGTAAACGTATTTGGACAGAAAAGGGAAAGGAGATTTTTAATTTATTTAAAGATAGTTTAGATATATGGTAGGCGAAACAAGAAAGGAATGGGATGCAATATTGGGTTTATCATATTATTCATTGTATGGGGATTTGTCACCGGTGAGGTCTAGGGCAGATTATTTGAGCAGGGATCCTCAGGCAAGGTCAAGATGAGGGAATATAAGGGATACAGGTATTAGACTTGTAAAATGCGTGATGGGAGGGAAAAAGCTTTGGAACATTTGCTGTGTTGTGGACAGGCAATCAAAACAGAAAGCGATGGTATAAAGGTGTTTTTGAGATAATGGAGAGGAGAGCGTAACGATGGATGAGATGGGAGATTTTAAAATGAGAAGCGGGGGAAGATGTATGTGAATTTTTCTTCTAACTTCTAAACATCCTTGTAATTCCCAAAAAAAAAATAGACCTGGGCGGAACACAAGCTTTAGGGCGATTGTCTTTAAATCTTGGAAAACCTATATATATGACGGTATCAAAGTTTTTTGGTCAGTTCAATTTAGCATTCATTGCCTTTTCTATAGAAATAATAATAGAAATAGGTACTTGGCTGTATTGCAGCCAGTGTCAATTCATAATTTATCGAATAGAGAGATTATTCACGTTTCGAGCGAGCGGAACAGGCTGCAAAGTAGCTTCTTCTGATCGCACCACCGCCACCACGTCCTACGTCCTTATTGAAATAACTGTCGCCTTGTGCGCTTTCGTGACCGGTTTCCGCGACACAAACATACTGCTGAAATCAATCACCTGGGCAATAACACTAAATCTGCATGCATTACCGGCGAGTGTCGTGGCTTGTGACTCACCAACGAAATAAACTTATGGTTAGACCAAAAAAGTAAGAGATCGTGCCATGAAGGTGTGCGTCGCCATTAATGATGGCGAAAACCATTTTTATTGCTTAGTTGTTTATCTGAGTTTTGTTGTGGCAACGCAAGGTACCGATCTATGTTCAAGTATTGTTTGATTATTTTATCCACAAATACGATAAAGGTTATGCTTGTAACGTTCTCCTGGTTCTAACGTTCCAAATTAAGAAGTCCCGAACAGGGACGTACCTAGCTAGGCTTTTGTTTTAAGCTCGATATAACCCAACACGTCTCGAGGCTTAAGTATCTACATAACCTTATACGAGGGTGGATTGATAAGTTTCCGGCCTGACCAAGAAAAACAAGGTTTTTAAAAATTTTTTTTTTTTATTTCTCAACATAATCTCCTCCAAGGCTGATACATTTCTCATAGCGGTGTTCCAGTCTATTACTCTATAGACTGATTCGTCAAGCTCCTCAAAATAACCATTTACAGCTTCGATTACTTCTTCATTGTCCGCAAATCTCTTACCGCCAAGCCATTTTTTGAGATTAGGGAACAGAAAATAGTCACTCGGGGCTAGGTCTGGAGAGTAAGGAGGGTGCGGCATCAATTCAAACTTTAGATCGTTGATTTTAGCCGTCGCAACGATTGACGTGTGCGCTGGTGCGTTATCGTGATGAAACAAGATTTTTTTCTTCGCCAGATGAGGTCGTTTAATTTTCACCTCGTGGCTCAAACGTTGCAATAAGTCTGCGTAGTATTGACCAGTGATAGTATTACCCTTTGCAAGGTAATCAATGTATATAATACCTCTTGCATCCCAAAAAACAGTAGCCATAACCTTGTTCGCCGAAAAAATTGTTTTTGCCTTCTTTGGAGTTGGTTCCCCTGGTCCAATCCACTGTTTAGACTGTTCTTTGGTTTCAGGAGTGTAGTGGTGGACCCACGTTTCGTTAACGGTTACGA